AACGCGGACCTGCCGGCTAGTCCTCCAAATGGCTGCAGGCTCCGGGGCTGAGCTGCCCCACTGAAATCAAGCGTGTGGACTGATGTGGATCGCCCCGGCCGGCTGCTGCTTCTCTGCCAAAGAGGTTTGGCGCTGGTTCCTGCTCAGATCTGGGAATACCTTGCTGCGTATTCCTGTGGCTCTTTATCCTTAATAGAGCTTTCTTGCCAGTCGAAGTCCTTAAAATGAAAGATGAGCGCCTCGCAGCTGTCCTTTCACCGTGATACGCAAAATCCACAGCCTGCTGTAGGTGTATTAATGGCCTCGGTAGAATATACGCGGTGCCTTTGCTTTTCTCTGCCTCTTGATTTGCAAGTCATCCTCAGATGGAGACACACGCTCTCTCTGCCCTCTTTGTAGTACTGCTGTACGGAAGAGTGAAATTAAATGTGTGTGCAGACAGGCTCAAACTCCAATCTCCAAGACAAGCCTTCAGGTTTTTATTTTTATCTCCTCCTTTTGTAGGAAATAGACAGACGGTTGGAAAAGAAGCTGAAGATCACACAGAAGGAAAGGTAACGATGCTGCGCGGTTCGGTAAAAAACCTTATTTTCCTGAGGTGCCGTTGGACATCTGAAGGCCTGGGGAGCGGGAACAGTGGGGAAACAGCTTCAAACTGAGCAGAGCGCGCTGGGTTTGAGTTCAGAAATAGGGAATCTCTGTAATTGTGCCACTAGATGGCCCTTTCGATCCATAGCAGGGTAGCGGAAAGCTTCTTTAGAGTGATTTTATTTCAGAGCCGGGTCTTCCAGACTGGATGTAGCTACAGCTATGGGGAAGCCATTTAAGAAAAAGACACTCAAAGGAAGAAATGGGTGAGTCAGGTAATCCCAACTCATGGCCCTAAATTGGCTTGCCGTGTCTTACGTCAGTAAGACTTTCTTTTCCTGCTTACTTTGGATTGGGGCGTGGGTGTGTGTGGTGGTGTCTTCTAGCAGAAATATTTCTAATCACTTCTGACAAGTCTGTTGTTGTTGGTTTTTTTTCCCCTTTGATTCTTAGTAGGCCACTTAGAGTCACGGTATTACTTCTCTGGGACTTCCGCACAGAGAAGGGACCATAAAAAAACTCAAATGGTGAGATGGGGGCCAAGGTTGGCTCCGAGCAGTGAAACGGCAGGGTGGAAGTGGAAGGCCGGGTATCCTGGCAAGAGAAGCCCTAAAAGTTCTTGCAGGGAATGGAATCAAGGTGCATATGTCGATATCTTCGAATAGAGGTGCCAAAACTTTTGCCCAGTGCCTGCTTCCCTTTCCTTTGGTTGAGTTTAAAGATACTGAACGCAGCAGGGACTAATTTTCTGTCCCCTCCTGAGCTAATCTCCTGCAAACCTGCCGGCTGCTCTAGTTTAGGGTTACAAATATAACGAGGTCTTTAATTATTACAGGCTGCCTCTTAATCATGGGAATGACATCTGACTGGGAGGAATTCACACGCAGAGCGAAAAACATGCTTGCCGTAGAAAACAAGTACCAACCAAATGTTTTTCTTTTAAACAGTAGAAAGTCAAAATCTCCTCCTCAAGTGCCGATCGTGATTCAGGACGACAGCCTTCCTGCAGGTCCTCCCCCGCAGATCCGCATCTTGAAGAGGCCGACGACCAACGGCGTGCTTAGCAATCCCAACTCCGCCAGCAGACCGGCCTTCCCCGTGAAATCCTTGGCGCAAAGGGAGGCGGAGTACGCGGAAGCCAGGAAACGAATATTGGGCAGCGCGAGCCCTGAAGAAGAGCAGGAGAAACCCATTCTAGATAGGTGAGAGACCCATTCTAGACAGGTGAGAGCAGCCTCTCGTGCTGCGGCAGCTTCGCCTGCGCTCCTTGTAAACACCTTCCTACCAGGAGGAGGGGAAATGGGCTCCTTGAAGAGTAAAGTGAGGCCGGCAAGGAGAAAGGAGTGCTTTGTTAGCAAGCAGGGCATCATACATCTCAAACATGTGGGAGTTAAGGGAAGTGCAAGTGCCTGATAAGGCCGTAAGGGTTATCCTAGACGCGTGGAAGAGCCTTCGGTGGATAGAGAGCGGAGTGGGGGCAACCAGAGCTATCCTGGCGGGGCGTATCCTCATCTTTGCTGAGGTTTTTGACTTGAGGGAGCTGCCACGTGCAGACGGGAGAGTTGAGCGTAAGCACTCTTTAATGAACGCAGATTGTTTGAAGGCACCGTGCTGTCTCTGTGGCTACAACGTGAGCCTTAGCTGCTTGAGAATAAGACTTCCAAATCTGTGGAAAGAAAGTTCGATTTTGGTGGCGTTCCCCATCCCGGGGAGCAAGCGTCCTGCGGCAGCGACCTCCCGCCGAGGCGGGTGCGGGCGTATTTGTTGAAGGCGTATAGCGTGACGCAGCCGTGTTGCCTCTGCCTCTGATCTCCTTTCTCCTTGCAGGCCGCCGAGGATCTCCCAGCCGGAAGACACCAGACAGCCCAACAATGTGATTAGGCAGCCGCTGGGTCCCGATGGCTCGCAAGGCTTCAAACAGCGCAGATAAATGCGGGCGAGAGATGCTTCTGCGGAAGGCAGGGTCCGCCGCCACGGGTCGCACTGCCGTGGCGGACAAACGGACTTGAGCAAAGGGAACTACCTGGTTTATTTGCACTGTGATCCCCTTTGCTCTGCCCACTGTGACCTTCAACCCCACGCACTGTGACCTCCCCTCTCCACCCACTGTGACCGGCAAACCGAGAAGGGCTGTCCCCGAGTCGCTGTAAAAGGAAAGGGGACGAGGGGAGGGGGTTATAAAGGACTCGGACGGGTGCAGGGAGTCGTGTGTGTGCCACTTGGGTTGAAGCTAGCCCCAGCAATAACGTTTGTTGTACTCATAGCCTGGGATTTACAGAAAGAAAAAAAAAAAAATGGGAAGCCTCCCCAGACGCGCATGTTGTCCTCATCACTTTAAGAGCAAGTTCTGTTTCAAAGGATCTCTTTTATTTTATTTTTTTTCTGTTTGTTTTCTGTATATCAGATCAACGGAGTGCATGGGAAAGGTTTTAACTGTTTGTTTTAATTGAGAGAGGTAGTTAAGTGTTCGAAAATGAATTTCTGCGACTTTAATGGCTCGGGTTTGGCAAGTTCTTGCTTCTCGTTCTCTATTTCTACCACTGCCAAGCACGTGGAAGCGGACTCCCAGATACCTGGCCTCTCCGATCGCCTTGGGAGCCGGCGGAGTCCGATGACCTAGTTTACGTCTTGCACCTGTTAAAGCTTGGCTAGTATTTTCTGCTGGCTTTGAGGAAAAGCTTAAAAAACATCTTTTTTTTTTTTTTTTTTTTCTTCTCCTTCTTTTTGTATTTGGGGAGAAGGGAATGTAGACGGATCCCGTGAAAATGCCTGCTGCCCGGCCGCTGTTTGCGGCAGAGAGCGCCAGGTGGCGAAGAACTGGGGCTCCGTTGCGAGGAGAATAGCCGGCACCGCTCCGGTCCGTGAAATGAGTCTGTGGGGAGGAGCCCCGCTCCGTACGGCCCGCGCTCCTCAGGCGGCTGGCGTAACGACGGGGAGCGGGACGTCCCGAGGGTCCGAACCCGAGTGGCTTAACGACGGAGCGAAGGCTCTGATCGATCTCTCGGTCACGGTACGAGCTGCGTTCGCCTCTGGAAATCGCAGACGTCGGGATCAAAAACCACCTCAGATAAAGTCTGGATGATTCCCCCCTCTTCCTGGCGGCAGCTGGCTCCCCGCGAGGCTTCAGGGAAGGGATTTTCCTGCTCCGGCTCCCGGGAAGAGGACAGGGAGGCTGGTGGTCCGCAAGAACGCGGATGCTCCTCCCCTCGGATGAAGCTGACCTACCTTAGTATCACTTAATATCGAGGGATTAGATGAACACTAAATGCTCTGCTTGGAGGGGACGGTACCTAGAAAACCATGTCTGGTTATCGGCGGATTATTCTGTACGGGTGCAGCCTTCCCTGCCGCTTCGTGCTCAGTAGGTTCAAGGGTAAACGAGCAAATCTTGACGTCTTCTACCCGAAGGGAAGCGACCGTACGAAAAAGACGTGTATGAAAATACGGCTTAAAAAAAAAATTACCGGTAAAATAAAACTACCTGTGTATAAAAAGAATCCGCTAGAGCGTTAATTAGCTGATTAAAGCTGATTAAAGCACCGAGGACGGTGGCGAGGTGGGGATGGGTGGGCAGAC